TTCGCTCGGCTCCTCTTCACTACAGAGGTCCAGCTCCTCACTGGGTATCACATCCAGAACCTCACTGCTCTCTTCGCTTGGGGCGCCTTCTGTCCCCTCAAACCCGGGCAGGTCTAGGTCTTCACTACAGAGATCCAGCTCCTCACTGGGTATCACATCCAGAACCTCACTGCTCTCTTCGCCTGGGGCGCCTTCTCCCGACCCCTCAAACCCGGGCAGGTCTAGGTCTTCACTAGGCTCCAGCTCCTCACTGGCGACTTCCTCGAGCCCTGGGGAGCAAAACGACTGGCTCACGACGCTACACGTCTCCCCTCCACGCAGCACTCCTCCTCCCAACCGGGGCCCAGGCTCTCTCCACGGCTGGGCCGCTCCTCAGACTGACACTTCTGAAGTGTTAGAATGAAAAGGCTCCTTGCAAACAGTGCAAGTTTAGTTTTGGCTTTCCAAAATGCAAATGAAAATTGGTGGTGGGAGCCAGGCACCAGTGGCTCAGACTATAATCCTAGCTAACTAGGGACTGAAATATGAGGATCACGGTTCAAAGCCAGCCAGGAGGGAAAGCTCCTGAGACTTATCTCCAATTAACTGTCCCCAAAAAAACAGAAATGAAGCTGTGGCTGGAATGCTAGCCTTGGGCAAAAGGAGCTCAGGGACAGTCAGGGACAGGTGCTCAGGCCCAGAGTTCAGGACTGGGGGGGGGGGGGGGGGGGGGAACCCTCGTGCACAAAGTGTTTTATACCCAGGCAGTTCTAAATAATTCTGACCCTGACTCTAAAGGGATTAGGACTATTATCTGGGGGCGGGTGGCCTACACTTATAATCTTAGCTATTCAGAAGGCTACTGGTCAAGGTTCAAAGGCAGCCCAGGCAGACAAATCTAAGATTCATCTCCAATTAATTAGCAAAAAATTACAAGTGGACGTTTCGCTCAAGTAGCACAGCATTAGTTTTATAGAGAGATTTAAAAAAAGAGAAGGAGGGGCTGGGAAGGTGGCTCAGTGGTAGAGCGCTTGCCTTGCATGCCTGAGGCCCTGGGTTTGATTCCTTAGCACCACATAAGCAAAAAGAAAAAAGCCGAAGTAGCACTGTGGCTCAAGTGGTAGAGTGCTAGCCTTGAGCTGAAGAGCTGAGGGACAGCGCCCAGGCCCAGAGTTCAGGCCACACGACTGGACACCCCCCCCCCCCCCAAAAAAAAAAGGAGGAAGAAGAGGAAGAGGAGGGGGAGGAGGAGGAGGAGAAGGAGGGGGGAGGAAGAGGAGGAGGGGGGGGGAGGAGGAGGAGGAGGAGGAGGAGGCGGCGGCAGCCAGGTGCCAGTGGCTCACATCTGTAATTCTAGCTACTCAGGAGGCTGGGATTTGAGGATCATGGCTCAAGGCCAGCCGAGGCAGAAGTCCACGAGACTCTTATCTCCAATTAACCACCAGGAAAAATGGAAGTGACGCTGTGGCTGAAAGGGCAATAGCACTGGCCCTGAGCTGAAAAGCTCAGGGACAGCGCCCAGGCCCAGAGTTCAAGCCCCATGACTGACACACATACACACTCCAAACCACGTCCCAAGTTCAAGACCTCTCACTAGCCTCACCCTTCCCCCCCACTCAAAAAAGGACTATTATCAGGATTTTGTCTACTGTAGAGCACCAGTAATAGAATCCTGAGATGAAGAGATCACCCTAACTCAAACTATAACACCCCAATACATATCCAATAATAGTCTGATGGGTGTATTTGCATGTACCAACTAGATACATTCTTATTTCAGAGCTCCTTCCAAATCAGCCTCTGCTGCCTTCCCGGAGAGCTGGGGTTCTGCCGCTGCAAGCCCCCAGGGCACATGCTGAGGCATAACCTCACCTCAGGAAGGGGCTCTAGATCTTGACAAAGGCAAAGTACAGCTCAAACTTCTCTCACAATTGCTTTCATGTTGAGATGGAAGCCTAGCTATGTAGCCCAATCAAGCTTCAAGCTCACAACCCTCCTCCTCAGCTTCCTGAGCACCTGGAATTATGTGCATGTGACACTGAGTCCAGCTGTCTTTTGAACTATTCCTCTGAAAGCCAAAGTGGGGAGGGAGTGCTGGGGGGGGGGGGTGTCAGTCTTTTGAAAAATTAAGAGTGAAAATAACTTCCTCTAAGAAATGGACATGGTCCCAAGGTTGTGCTGCTAACCACCAGCCACGCCCCCAGCTAAGCCCGCCGGGCTCCGCCCTGTGCTGCACATACCACAGGGAGGCTGCATGGTCACTTCATACAGGTAGTAGCTGTGGAGCAGCTTCTTTTCCTGTGCGTAAATCCTTACAGCCTGAAAATGGAAGTCCCCTAGAACACCTACAAGAACGGATTGAATTAGTACCACACGGCACCGCGGGAAGGCTGGGCATGTCTGCTTTCTGTCTGAGCAGCCAACAGGACGAAGCACCACCAGAGCGGACTTTCCGTAAGCATGGGATCTCTGGAGCACAAGTAAAGTTTACTCATTCACAACTCTACCCTGTCCTTTGTACACTCTAGCCTTTGGTATAACTGTACAAACATTGTCTATAGGAAAACTGTTTCTGTTGGAGAACTTTGGTCCCTCAGATTCATTTTCCCAGGGAAACAAATTCTGGCTACATAATACATCACTGAAATGAACCGTTCATTTCCCACTTAGGTCTGGGGGATAGTGGCAGAGGTGGGACCAGAGTTCTACCATTCCCCGCCTTGCACCCCTTGGGAAGAGAAAGGGCAGTTGAGGCAGTTTACTATTTATTATCTACTCTAGATTGGCCATAAGCCCTCCATCCTCCTGTCCCAAAGTGCTAGAGTTCAATGACAAGCACACCACCACATTGACGTCTTCCTTCCTTTCAGGGGTTGGGCAGGGGTGGGCACCAGGACACTGAGGTCTGTCGCTCATGCTTTACTTTCCTGTTCAAGGTGGGCTCTCTACCAAACCTCTACGTCGGACTTTCTTTTTAGTTGTGTAGGATAAGGTTTAGGATGCCTGGGCTCTGGCTGCAGAGAGCAGCACACTTTATCGCGTGTATGCCAGAACTGAAGCTAAGAAGCCGGAGAAGCAGCTTTTTCCCAATTTGGCCGCCAAGGAACTCTATCAAATTGAAAAACTGGATGTAAAACCCAATGAAGCCCTGTCTCCAAACAACCCATGTGGGCTTACTAAAGCTGTGGGGCTGGGAAGGGGGCTCCGTGGTAGAGGGCTCGCCTCGAGTGCATGAGGCCCCTGGGTTCCATTCCTCAACACCACAAAAAGCCAGAAGTGGCGCTGTGGCTCAAGTGGTAGAGCGCTAGCCTTGAGCTGAAGAGCTGAGGGGACAGAACCCAGGCCCAGAGTTCAGGCCCCACGACTGACAAAAAAAATAATAAAATATTGCGAAGACAGAAAACATGAAAAGTGTTCGTTTTGGCCAGGTACCAGTGACTTGTGCCTAAGCCTAGCTACTCAGGCCACTTGAGATCTGAGGATCAACATTCAAAGCCAGCCTGGGCAGTAAAGCCCATGAGAGTTCCATCTCCAATTAACCACCAGAGAGCTAGAAGCAGAAGTGTGGCTCAAGAAGCAGAGCGCCAGCTTAGAGCCAAAATGCTAAGGGACAATAACCCAGGACCAAACAAAACCATTTTTTAATTGTTCATTTTCCCTGTATAAACGTGGTTCTGTTGGTGTACGTTATAAGCATCCATCACCAGCGGTGTGGGGAGGACACAAGAGGAGAGCGAATCCCCGACGCAGTGAAGACCGCTGCCTGTCCTCACCCGGGAGCCCTGGCCGTGCCTCACATGCTGTGCCCATGCCAACAGCACGTATGCCCACCTGTAGCTGTCCTCTCCGCCTGCTTTTCAGCTTTTTACACGTCCATGAACAAGGAGGCTGTCCTTCCCTCCCTCAACAAGGCTGCTCACAACCATGCTATACTGTAAGACTTGAAAAAAAAAATCTCAGAATGCACACATTCTGAGGTCAGATGAAAGAATACACCATGTACAGGACTGAAGACCTACTAGAGCCAGGGGAGAGCTCTCTACACACTCCTGACAGGCAGCTCAAATGCTCCCCTCTCTGTGAGACCCTTCTACTCCCTTTCTCTTCCCTCTCCCTCCTGGGAAATGCTGAAGCGGTCAAGCCTCTTCAACCAGGCTCCAGCAACAAAGGAGACAAACACAGGCCATGCTTTCCCCCTGGATATACAAGACAAAACCAGCAGTAGCAAACAACCTGTCCACCACCTTCCAGGCACCTTGGGCACATCAAAGAGTGCCAGCCATAAGAAGAAAACCTGACGAGTAGATGGCCAACCAGAGCCAGGACACCCGAGAGCACAGTTTCAGACACCAGGGCTGAGAGGAAAGAGATGAAGATGTTTTCCCATACTCTAACAGCTACTAAACCAACTTTGTCTTCTTAACTACTGACTACTTCTGCCTTGCCCAAAAAGAATCCTCTCCTCACAAACTGTGAAGCCAATCACTGTAACACAGTAAGGAAAGGAAAGCTGCATAGATGAAATGTCTTCTGAACAGATTCTAGGGTGCCTGGTTTTAACAAGACTCCAAAGCCAATTCATAAACTGGGGGGCAAGAGTGCATTTAGTGCATCACCTTTATAGTAACAGTGTCAAACTCTAAAGGGAGTGGGGTGAAAGCATATCTCAGAGGAAGGTCCATGGGTTCAACACACATAAATCAAAACACAAGAAAAAACACTTCCTAGACCCCTCACCAGTGTTCTGTCCTGTCTTCACCATGGCTGTCTAAGAGGAAATCAAGTTAATTAGCACCATATATGATAGAGACAATGCATTAATTTATCTGAAGGTTCTAATACTTGAGTCATAAATTCCAATACTTTAAAAGGGAGAGCATAAAAGGTTGGTCATTTCACTGCTGCTGAAACACAAAAGTTAGTACCAAGACACATGTTAAATAGAAAGGGCACCAGTAGCCCTCACCAGACCACAGAAACACCATATACCAAGTAGATGGCTGCCAGACAACTTAACTTACCAAAAAAGTCGAATGAAAATGGGTCCCTTCCACCAAAAAATTCCCTGAAGACATCATCTGGGTTCCGGAATGTAAAGCCGAACTCAAATGGACTGTCAAAATGACTTCCACCTACATAAACAAACACAGCTTTTAGTTGCTAAATTCTAATGTTTTTAGACATGTTACTTGTTTACAGAACATTATATACACATTGTGATCTAAAGAGAATTATCTCATCTTCCAGCAATTTCCTGGAATGCAAACTGGGCCCTAGACTGCTTGAAATTATGCCCAGAGCTAACCACACAGCACTGCTCACGCTGTGAGGTTACTCAACATCCAGCAAACCCTTTCCCAGTCTGCCATCACCATGTGTTATGTCAATTTTGTTGCTTGTTATGAAGATTCATGAAAACTCAAGACTGTTTGCTCAGACCACCTTTTAGGCACAAACTTGACCACACAGGGTGCTAACAGAACTGAGCACCTGTGATGACACTTCCTTCCATCAAGCATCACGGGGTAGCATCATACCCGAGGAGAATCATGGGAGCTTCACACTAGGGGGAGTCTGCGATCTAAACCCTAAGGACAAATTCCTTAATACAGGTGGACTGTTCACACAGTATGCCAGTACAGTACAGTCTGCACCTACAGAAGTATATTTACATACACTTTCTACTCTAAAAGTGTTTGTGGGTTTTTTTTTACATTTATTTTTTTGTTTAAGACAGTGGCTTTATACATAGGGCAGCCTGGCCTTGAAATTCTGCTTCTACCTCCTGAGTGCCAGCATTAAACATGTTTAAATCTTTGTGTGTTTCCAATTTCTTATTCCTACCCAATTCAGCCTACTTTTTATAGACTATATCAGTATTTACCATCTTCCAAAGACTTAGTAACGTACCATTAGATGACTAAACCTTTTGTCCCCAAAGAGAACACTAAACTCATTTACATACCTCCTCCTCCACCATTTAATCCTTCTTTGCCATATTTGTCATAGATGTCCCGTTTTTTAGCTTCAAATTTGAGGAGGGAAAAAAATCATAAGGAGTCAGTTCCTTTCAAATTCTTTAAAGTTAATCAGTATTTCACACACTGTAAACCAGATGTCAGCTTTTCAAGTTTTAAGAAGTTAGGTTCCTCTTAGACAGAAAAAGGGGCAGGTATAGATACCTCTCTCTCCAGAAAGACACTTTAGGTTAACAAGTACCATGAATTTTTAGCACTGACTTACTCCATTAGACAACTGATCTCACTACAGGGCCAGATCCTACGCACACACTGAACTCATATGCTCAAGTGGGAAGCTATCGCCATCACAGCAGTGAAGATGAAAGACAAGGACGACCATGCTGGCTGGGCGAGGCAAAAGCACATGGCGTTCAGGCCCACCACACTGTGAGGCAGGGGCGCTGTGAGGCAGGGGTGCTGTGCTGCCCTCCACCGCTGGCCCCGCCTCCTCCCCCCAGACAAGGACCGCCACAGCCACAGCAGGGCTCTGCAGGACCTGTGCCCTGGCAACATGATGGCTAGCCCCCAGAAATCTTCAGACACAGCCGTAACTGTAGGGGGCGCTGGTGGCCACACCTGTCATCCCAGCTACTCAGGAGGCCGAGATCTGAGGATCAAGGTTCAAAGCCAGCCTGGGCAACGAAGTCTAATTAATCAACAGAAAACTGGAAATGGTGCTGTGGCTCAAGTGGTAGAGCACTAGCCTTAAGCTGAAGAGCTGAGGGACAGCACCCACAAAAACAAAAAAACACGGTAACTGCAGAGTAACTGTGGCTCACCCATTTAACTACTCAGGAAGTTAAGATCTGAGGCTCACGGAAAAGCGCGCGCAAGCGCGCACACACACACACAGCTTTTCAGGAACAATATTTTATGTTTTTGTAAGTTTACAAGTTGCTGGTAAGCAAAGAAGCCTCTGAGATTGGGGGCATGTTCAATAATGCAAAGGGTCATGTGCTAATAATGGTGATGATGCGTTTTGCACTAGGGTCCTTCTAAAAACAGTCTTATAAAAATAGTGACCTAGGGCAGCAGTGGTAGAGCGCTTGCCTTGCCTTGCACGCATGAGGCCCTGGGTTCGATTCCTCAGCACCACATAAGCAGAAAAAAAAAAGCTGGAAGTGGCGCTGTGGCTCAAGTGGTAGAGCGCTAGCCTTAAGCTGAAGAGGGGCATCACCCAGGCCCAGAGTTCAGGCTCCACGACCGGACCCAAAAAAAAAAAAAAAAGTGAGCTACTCATTTCCTACTTGACCACATGGAGATGTACCTGGAATCATGTTCTCGCTTCCTGTGGTCAGTGAATCACTACTCAGTCCTTTAAATGCCTCTGCCGTGACTCACGAGAGGCCACCCAACTATCAGGGGTATTTTTCCAGGCTCTGGCACTGACCCCACCTCAGCCCATACAAGGTCTGGTCTTCATTATGAAGCCCCTGGCTGCACCTAGCCAACAAACCTTTACCTACTTCCAAAGCTAAGCCAATGGGCCTGACTTTCAATGACACGTAATTCCTGCTTTGTATGTAGCCCTGGGATGGGTGGGGGAAACATACAGATGTCTGATGTCCTGATCTTACCCGTGAATGGACCTGTTCCATTGAGACAGGACAGGTCAGAATGATGGGGCCCCCTCCAGCAGGAGCAGCGCCCACCACCACACGGTGAACCCAACAGCCCTTCCTCAGCTCACCCGGACTGCCCACCCAGTTCCAGTTTACCACACAGCCTGCCTGAGGGGCTCCTGAGACTCAAGAGGCTCAGTACCACTTACCATCTGACAACACCTCGTACGCCTCAGCTACCTGTTTGAATTTTCTCTCTGCTTCTTCTTTATTCTCAGGGTTTTTATCTGGATGCCACTTTAATGCCAGTTTCCGGTATCTTGAAAAAAATGAGGAATACTCATCATGTTCACAGTCTAGAAATCAACTAGGCTTTTAATACTAACACACACAAAATAACAGTTGCAGAAGTATAGCTGTGGCTTGGGCCTTAAGCAACTTAAGATTCAGTGCCCAGGCCCTGAGTTAAACCCCAATACCTGCACACAGAAAAGGAAAGCAGGGAGGGGAGAGTGAAAGGAGAGGAGGAAGTAAGGAGGGAGAGAGAGACAGGGAAAAAGGGAAGCACTGGAGGGGGGCCTGTGATACCAGCTACTCAGGAGGCTAAGGTCTAATGATCACGGTGCGAAGCCAGTCCTGGCAGGAACGTCAGTGAGACCCTTATGCCCAATAAACTACTAAAAAATAAATAAACAACAACAACAAAAAAAAAACTGAAGTGGAACTATGGCTCAAGTGGTAGAGTTATTTGTTTGCTAGCTTTGAACGAAAAGAAACTAGGGAAAGCACCCAAGCTCACAGTTCAAGCTCCAGGACTAGCATCACAAAAAAGAAAAAGAAAAAAAAGCTTCAGAGATGCCAACTAGTGAACTAGTACAGCTTTAGCTGAATAGCCTTCCTTTTCTTAAAAATGAAACAAGCCAAGCGCCAGCGGCTCACACTTGTGATCCTAGGTACTCAGGAGGCTGGGATCTGACGGTCACAGTTCAAAGCTAGGCCAGGCAGTGAAGACCTTAAGACTCTAATCCCCAATTAACCATCCCCAAACCAGATGTAGACCTGAAGCTAAATGGTACAGCCTTAAGCACTAAAGCTCAGGCCCTGAGTTCAAGCCCCAAGACACCACAAAAAAATAAGCAAATCAATCATATCTAAATATAGCTAACACAAGCTGATTTCTTTTTTTTTTTTTTTTTTTGGGGGGGGGTCTGGTCGTGGGGCCTGAACTCTGGGCCTGGGCACTGTCCCTCAGCTCTTCAGCTCGAGGCCAGCGCCCCACCACTGAGCCCCCTCCCCAGCCCTCCCTCCACTTCCTGAGCCAGCTTTGCTCAGATCAGTGTGGCCGAAGCCCGCCCCCCGCCCCAGACAGACAGACAGACAGACCGCCTCTGTTCTGCAGTCAACGCCGGGCCAGGACCAGGGCTGCCAGGGCGGAGATGTCAGCTCACAAGTGGAGTCCCGCCTACCCGTAAGCTATTATCTACCTGGGTTTTAGCCCAGAAACTAATATTCTCTAAGCAGAGAGAAAGAAAGGAAAGGAAAAAAGAATAGGCCGGGCGCCGGTGGCTCACGCCTGTCATCCTAGCTACTCAGGAGGCTGAGATCTGAGGATCACAGTTCAAAACCAGCCGAGGCAGGAAAGACCATGAGACTCATCTCCAATAAACCGCCAGGAAAAGTGGAAGTGGTGCTGTGGCACCATGTTTGCCTTGCTGAGTTCCTTTTGAGTTGATGTACGTATTTCTATGTGATACCCCAATATCCCGAGCTCTTTATAACACAACTACTCAGAAGGCTGAGATCTGAGGAACCTGGTTTAAAACCTGGGTAGCAAAGTTCAGAAGACTCATCTCCAACTAACCATCAAAAAGCTGGAAGTAGGGCTAGGAAGGTAGCTCAGTGGTAGAGCACTTGCCTTGCATGCTTGAGGCCCTGGGTTCGATTCCTCAGCACCACATAAGAAAAAAGCCGGAAGTGGTGCTGTGGCTCAAGTGGTAGAGTGCTAGCCTTGAGCTGAAGAGCTGAGGGACAGCGCCCAGGCCCAGAGTTCAGGCCCCACAACCAGACCCCCCCCCCCAAAAAAAACACCTGGAAGTAGATAGAGCTGTGGCATAGAGTGCCAGTCTTGAGTGTAAAAAGGAGCTAAGGGACAGCCCCCAAGCCTAGATTTCAAGGCCTGGTATCAGCACCAAATCAATAAACAAATATACACTCCGGGGCTGGGAAGGTGGCTCAGTGGTAGAACACTTGCCTTGCATGTATGAGGCTCTGAGTTCAATTCCTCAGCACCACATAAGCAAAAAGAAAAAAGCCGGAAGTGGCGCTGTGGCTCAAGTGGTAGAGCCCTAGCCTTGAGCTGAAGAGCTGAGGTACAGCGCCCAGGCCCAGAGTTCAGGCCCCACGACCGGACTCCCACCCCCCCCCAAAAAGTAAAGCTGAAAGTAAAGGTGTGGCCCAAATGGTAGAACGCTAGCCTTGAACAAAAGAAAGCTCAGGGAGAGCTGGGAATGTGTCTTAGTGGTAGAGTGCTTGCCTAACATGCATGAGGCCCTGGGTTCAATTCCTCAGTATCACATAAGTACAAAAAGCCAGAAGTGGTGTTATGGCTCAAGTGGTAGAGCGCTAACCTTGAGCAAAAAGCAGCTCAGGAACAGTGCCCAGGCCCTGAGCTCAAGCCCCAAAACTAGCAGAAAAATACATAAATAAAAGCTCAGGGACAGCATCCAGGTAGAGAGAGTTCAGGCCCCAGAACTGACACAATAGGAGAAAGGAGAAAACATCATTTTAGGGCTAAGGGTGTATCTCAGCAGTAGAGATGCTGCCTAGCATATGAGGTCTGGCTTAGACTCCTACAACTGCAAAAGAAAAAACAGAGGGGGAATAGCCATTTTAATAGCGAGCAAATATTCTATCACCCAATTACCTATGGACAACCGGGCAGATATATCCAGGAATAAAATACTTACGCCTTTTTGATATCCTCGGCCGAGGCATGCCTCTGCACCCCTAGAACTTCATAGTAATCCACCATGTTTTAACAGATTGCTGGAACAAGTCCTGCAATTGAAACGTCTGGTCAGTGACAAGAACGTGAAGGCTAGGTAGGTCACAGGTGGGAACTAGACAGGGAAAAGGTGCTTTGGCGCCCACCAGACGGAGCCACAGCTCCTGCCCGCCGCTCCTGCCATGCCTGACATCCTCTGAAGTATACATAGCCTCAACAACCACCTAAACAGGAGGTGATGCTCTCAGGCAGGCTAGGCAGCAAGAGCCCACAGCCAAGCTCCTCCCTCCTTCAGTATGTTCCTGTGCCAGGAACTGGGCAAGCCTGAAGCACTGTCCTGCTAAGCAGCGGCAGCTCTCCCTAACCACATGCAACTGTGCCTTTGCCGCAGGAAAAGCAGAGGGCCTTCCCTGGCTTACAGGTGATACAGCCCCCCTTACCCCCCTCCCCCCCGTCTTCAAAGGGCAGCGGGAGGAAAGCCACTGCACCTCCGCTAGGCACTGCACCACCTGCCTCACCACAGAACTGCACACTTGCTGACTCTTTCAAGATGGGAGTGTTCTGGGGCTGGGAAGGTGGCTCAGTGGTAGAGTGCTTGCCTTGCATGCATAAGGCCCTGGGTTCGATTCCTCAGTACCACGTAAGTAGAAAAAGCTAGAAGTGGAGCTATGGCACACGTGGTAGAGCACTAGTGTTGAGCTGAAGAGCTGAGGGTCAGCGCCCAGGCCCAGAGTTCAAGCCCCACAACCGACACACGCACACGGGCACACACACACACACAAGGGGAGCTTCCTGACAAAGTAGTGGCACTGATCAAGGCTCAAGTGGTAGAACAGTGGAGCAAAAAAAGCTCAGGGAGTCTCAAGACCAACACACACACACACACACACACACACACACACTCAGGGAGCCTCAAGACCAACACATACAACACACACACAGCTCAGGGAGCCAAGACCAATACACACACACAATAAGCTCAGGGAGCCTCAAGAGCAACACACACACACACACACACACACACACACACACACACACACACACACACAGCTCAGGGAGCCAAGACCAATACACACACACACACACACACACACACACACACAATAAGCTCAGGGAGCCTCAAGACCAACACACACACACACACACACACACACACACACACACACACACACACACACACACACACACACAAAGATAGAACAAGTTTACTGAAGACCTGTCCTGAGGAAAATGGCAACCTCTGTCTAAACCTCCATCTGAGGGCTCAGGTAGTAGCTGGGGAGTCTATGGGACACAAGGGATAAGAGTCCATGAGCAGGAAGTCTGGGCCAACAGGATCTCAACTCCTGAGACCAGTGTCTCCATTTCCTTTTCAGATAAACCAACTCACAAGAGGGTGAGAGGCACTAAAAGAGTAAGGTGGAAAGAGTGGACGTTAAAAGACCTGGGAAAAAATGGCAGGGGAGGTGAAGCAAAGCCAAGCAAAGTCCCCTATTCACATCGCCTTCTTCCCCAAAATAACCGACTGGACTAGGACTGCAACACCCCACAGTCAGCCCCTACTCTACCTCCCCGCAATGTGGGACAGTGGCTCTGGGGAGGCTTCCTGGGGTACAGCTGCAGAAGTTTGGAATGGGAGATTTTTTCTGTGAGGTGGGTGCCAGTTGAGGAAGGGTCTAAAGATTAGAGAGGGGCACTGGGCCTAAAGCTAGTTAACTGAAACCCAAGGAAAGGTTTCTCTCTACCCAAAGTATTAGGAAGCCAGGTGCTGGAGGCTACACCTATAATCCTAACTACTCAGGAGGCTGAGATCTGAGGATCACAGTTCAAAGCTAGCCTAGGCAGGAAACTCCATGAGACTCTTATCTCCAATAAACCACCAGAAAACTGTAAGTAGGGCTGTGGCTCAAGTGTTAGAGCAGGGCTGGGAAGGTGGCTCAGTGGTAGAGCGCTTGCCTTGCATGCCTGAGGCCCTGGGTTCGATTCCTCAGCACCACATAAACAAAAAGAAAAAAGCCGGAAGTGGCGCTGTGGCTCAAGTGGTAGAGCGCTAGCCTTGAGCTGAAGAGCTGAGGGACAGCGCCCAGGCCCAGAGTTCAGGCCCCACAACTGGACCCCAAAAAAAAAAAAAAAAAAAGTGGTAGAGCGCTAGCCTTGAGCTGATATGCTCAGGGACAGCGCCCAGGCCAGAGTTCAAGCCCCTTGGCCAACAACAACAACAACAACAAAAAAAGGTTTTACTTAGAAAGATTAAAATGTTCTCAAGATGGATCAAGTGGCAGCAGACGTACAACCATGAGAATGTATAATGCCCATTAACTGCACTCCACTTTACACGGCGTACATGTCACACCGGAAGAACCTGCATAGCACTGAGGGGATGGAACCCAGCTCTATCTCCAGCCACAAAACTTCGTATTCTGGTGGTAGCGGGTTTGGAACTTGGCCTAAATGCTTGCTACAGGCCTCCACTGAACCTCCCCCTTCCAGCACCTCCAAGAACTTTGAAACGTTCACATAAAATACTAAGGAAAAAAATTAATTATGGAATTGTAACCCATTTGTACAACTACTTAATGATAATTTAAAAAATTAACTAAGCAAGTTACACATAAGCAAATGAGCGTGCAACTAACCAAGGCTCCCTCCCTGGCAGTTAAAATGACGCAGTACCTCAGGATTCAAAGCACACCAGTCAGACCAGTTAGAATAGGAACCAATGCCAGACAGGCTGCACAGAGGCAGCGGTCCATTCCCGCACTACTCAAGAACACAGCCCCTATCTTCCAGGAACCAAAACCCCGACTACATCAGTGGCTGACCCATCAAAAGCATCCAAACAACAGCAGGAAAGGACCCTATCTCCTGGAGACACAGGACAGCAGCCCTTCAGATCTACTTCAACAGGCTGAGAACCACCCAGGGCACTAGTGGCAAGGGCTCCGAGACCAGCCCACTGCACTGCCCAACTGAGACGGCACAGGCTCTCACAGAACAAAGGCGGAGGCCTCAGGACCATACTCCACCCCAGTCACCACCTCTGAGCCACCCACAGGAGACCAGTCAGCATCTGCCCAATGACACCACCACGGAGACTCCTGTGCTTCCAATTCAAAGCAGATGTTTTGCACTTGCATTCTAAGGTGTGTCTATGAGCGTCGGTGGTAGCATGGCAGCAAGATGACACAGAGGGACGGTGAGCCAGGAGGAAGGGGCCTGGCAGGCAGTGGGAGCAGGTGACTCAGCCGCCATGACCCTGCAGAAGGTCCGCCAGGAGACTGCCCAGGGCAGTGGACGGACACACAACACCACGTGACAGGGCCTGGCACTTGGGCACCATGTGAAAGCCGGCATTGTCTTACTAAAGGAAGTTTATCTCACAAAGAAAACAATGGCGAATGGACAAACTAGAGCGTCAAACCCTTTGCCCCTAGACAAGTCCACTGTTAACACTTCTCCCACCTGACTCGGCCTCCATGGCCCCTCCCCCTCCCCCTCCCCACGCCAGCCTAACCTCACCATTTTAACATAAGGAAACATCAACTACCTTTCCCTCCTCCACTTGAGTAGCTCAGTGGCAAAGTACTTGCTTATCAAGTCCAAGGTCCTGGGTATGATCCCCAATACCAAAAAAGAAAAAGGCTAAAAGAAAGTCTTCCTTCTCACACCTCCCATAGGTGAACCCCAGTCCCACATGGAAAGTCCATCCTTTGGGCTCAGACATAAACAGAGGACAGGACTATGCAAATAGCCACGGGGGTAGCTAGCAAGCATCCCAAAACTTAACTCTTAATGCTCCGGTGCGGAGACCTGCTGGCCTTCCCCTAGGAAGGCTTCCAAGCTGCTTGACTACAGGTAGTGCGCTCACCCTCACCAACATCACTACACACACACACACACACACACACACACACACACACACACACACACACACACACACACACACACACACACACACACACACACACACACACACACACAGTCCTGCCTACAATACCTTAAGCATACCCATTCTTTTAGCTTCAACTCTACCATGGCTCTTTCCCCAACTACAGGTGTCTCCGTCTCCTCAATGTATGTGATCCGTGACACACTACAGAAGTCAACACACAAACGTGCGAACCACCATGACAGACGGGGCTCGTAGCATACGCCTTTTGCTGAGGAACTTCTCCTGTTCTGCCCAACCACCTGACCCAGCTCAAAGGTGAGCCGGTCCTACAAGAGCCCGTGATGCATGCTGAGAGCATGAAGTCTACAGCAGACAGTGGTGAAGGGCGTCCTCACCAAGCCCATCAGATGAAGAACTCTTAGCAGTGGATCTCTGGAAAGACAATTAACTTGGCTTACTCAAGAAGTGAAGTAAACGCCTTTTCTTTTGGAAAAGCAACTTTCCAATTTAGTCCCGAGTCCAATCTCCAATACAGGAAAGAGAAGCGAAGGACAGAAAGGAATGGGGAGAAGGGAGGAAAATCACCCAGTAACTACCTGCTAATTACAAAGCAACAAAAAGTCTATCCACAGCAGATGACCTCACACTCTGAGGAAGGGCGAGGAGAAGGTGCAGAGGGTGGATGAGCTCAGGGCTGACTACACATAAGCTGATCTGCAGAGACACCACTCCCTTCAGTCAGATGGGTCACCACACCTGCAGAGCTCACCTCATCCTCCTAAACAAAGAGAGACTTACTTCTTTCTAGTAACCTACCATAAAATACAGGTTGACAGCGAGATAGAGCCTGTGTTCAATTACTGGCAGCTTAACTGAAGAGGTCTTTTATAAGCTTTCAGTTTGGTAATGACTTAAGTCAAATCTTGCTTGGGAAATCTGTTGTGCTTAATGCTGGGACTTGATCCCTACTAGTAAGCCTTTCCCATTCATACCAAAGAACCAGTACAAAAAGATTGCGAATCTTCAAACAGGACCTAACGACCTGGAATGTAAGCTGGAGATTGCAGGTAGGAACCTGCAATCCTAACTATTCAGAAAAGAGGCTGAGATCTGAGATTACCCCTATGAAGCCAGCCTAGGACAGGAAAGTTCAAGGGGGGC